AGCGCCCTCCTAGGCAGAACACCCTGTACCTGCTACATGCTTCCACCTTCACTCAACCAACGGCGGTGTGCTGTCCTGAGTCAGCAGGATTCTCAGCGTGCGGGGCACGGAGGGAGACCACGCAGCTCAAGCCCACGTCAATCATTTTATTGCAATGTGAATGCATTTTGTATAATCAACAATTCAGTTGTACTGCTACCACATAACTTGTAACATCTATCAGTCAACTCCCCAATACACCCCTTTTTGCCGACACTGCTCTAGTTATTGAACTACCATAGCTACGACCCCATACCCCTACGTCACAATATCTACAAGGGGCTTAGGCTGAAGATAGTATTTTCTTAGAAAATACCATCTTTCAGTCTAATGAAAATTCTTCAAGAAGCTTAGGCTCAAGATGGACTCTAGTAATAAAATATCTACTAGGGGCTTAGGCTGAGGATGGTATTTTCTAAGAATGAAACATGTTCCTGATTGTGTAACAACGTCATTAACATTTGTGGAGATGACTTTGAGCATTCCTTCCTTCCTTTGAAAATTTCCACTCCACTTTCAGCAATTTGGACTCTTACCAAAGATTTGTAACGCTTTCAACTTTCTATGGAAAATTGAAAAGTCACTGCACCGTTAGCGTTGTTGTCTAGAGAGCATGGAGGTCGGGGTTAACAATTTATTATGTAATTTATTTAATTTCATAAGTTTCCAAAAAATAAAAAAATGAGAAGGAAACTTACCCAGGCGCCACTTGACTTGAAGTACTTGGGATATTTGGCCTTGTCCAAGTCAAGAAAACAAGATCCATTTAATTTTGAAAAGTTCTTTACAATACAAAAAATTATATATACTTATTCAAATTTTCATATGTCAAACCAATGTTAACCAACTCAGGAAGAGGGGGAATGTATAGAAATTATATTCACCCAGATATTTACATATATTTACAAAAAAAAACAATCAATTAACAAGTACCTATCTGACCTGAAGCCTTGTTGAACCGACAAGATCACCCTGTATATGACATAATATAAAATTTAGCTGAATAATATGTGGTGATATTCACACATTTATACTACCTTCTCACCATGGTAACTCACCTGAGTAAATCATAATTGACAAGTTAAAGAATACTGTCAACAATCATAAGTAATGTTGTGTATGAAATATTATTCTCAAAATAACATTGAGGATGATGATCATGGCATTCGCACAGTACTGAGCGAAGGCTGTACAGCTTTGAGAGTAAATTCACATTTTACAGTCTAGGAGTTAAAGTTGATAATATGGTTTCAGGTGAGGCAAATGTGAAAGCTAAGTTATGTAAAAGAAAATGACAACAAAATATCATTAAAAAGGTTATAACTGGCCTTGTTATTGGTGATCCATTCCCATTCCAGAATTCATCAGTCCAGACAGCTCCACAGGTTCAGTTCAGCAAGAAAGAAAAATAACTTCTATCCTGGGTACAAAATTAACAGGACTCTTCCATAAGTCAACTTCTCATTGAGAAGCTGCAGGGCATTACTACCACCCGGGATGGAGATACTGGCAACAGCTAGGGGTTGATAATACTGCCCTTATAGTTTCCCAGCAAAACAACTACATCTACAAGTAACCAGGACACTGGCTACTGGTTAATATTAGCTTGGACGTAGTCCCACCTAAAACCCTAAATAACAAAAATGTTATTTCTCTGACATTCATGCAGAGAATGTCTACTTACCCCTTACAGAGGGTTTCATACAAAAATGGACAGAAAAACATCATATTGTTCCCCATATGATGTGAAATTAAGAAATTTGGGTTCACCAACTGTAAATAATGGAAAAGATATTCATGAAGAGATTTTATGGAAATTTGAGTGGAAAAGAATAGACTTACGATTCACAAAAAAAAACCCGGCACGTGTTTGAAGTTTCTGGATGCCTGGAGCACTGGAAGTTTTACACTCGGTTTATGATCACCTCATATAATGGCTGGAGACAAGTCCACAAATCAGGAGAAACTGTTCATGGGAAAAACAGGCACTAATCCCGAAAATATCGGTTCGAAGCCTTGTGTAGTTTCACCACAAGCTCCTGGAAGCCTATAGAAGCCAATCGAACCCCATCGAAATCAATCGAAGCTTTCCCCCTTCACCCCGAAACCTGTGAGGAAGCTGTTTACAGACATCGCTGTCAACGCGATGGTCGTGCCATCTATGAATCAGATTCTTTCCACTCATTTTCCTAGGATTTGGAAATACTCCGGAAAATAACAACTATAGTGCTAGTGAAAAACGAAACGGAAGATGCTTTCTGAATCCTGGAATACAGGTGATACTAACAACAGAGACTGGACACAGAAAAATACTGATTTTATCCCACTGAATTTGGTAAGTACAACAGCTGAATATTGATATTTTCTAATTGTTTATTTCAGGTACTTTATAACAGACCAGGCTGACAGTTTGAAATCTCCAATCAGGAATAGATGGAAATTGACAGATCCACCAAGAGATTCACCTCAAACATACTAATTTGGAAGAAAATTGAGAATTTCATTTCCTAACCTGTAATTGAGACTATGATGATACTTTCTCAAATTCACAATACATTTGTTGCAAAACATGTTCAGGTAAATTATATAATTATTATTTGTATTCTTGAAGTTTAATAAACAATTGAAAAGATGATTTTTGTCTAATTCCTTGATTTTTTCTCTGAGTTCGACTAGCGCCATCACTGAGCGAATAGCGAAACTAAGAGTTAGGTCTAGCTGTAATATAAAGTACTAGTCTGCACTACCAAATGTATCGATTCCTGCTTTATATGAGTGTAGGTGTGTTCCAAAGTTGAAAGTAGTGTACGTTAGAGGGCACTGGGTGCTCTGAGCATTTGCGAATGTTACAGATTATTCATAATTATCACCGTCATCCTGGAAGTGAACAGTAAGTGAAAGTATGTTTTTTTATTTATGTAATATTTTCATAGTTTATAATATAAACCAAATACAGATACCTATAATATATATGGTGTTTGTGAATAGTTGTGAAGAAAACTTCAGAGGGTGATTCCATGTGATATTTTATTAAATGAAGTTCATATAAACATGATGATGTCCTAACCTTTTGAGATAATGGATGTTGAAGTAGGAAGTATGATTTTTATTTATCAATTTATAAGCTTGCATGGTGCAAATTCCGTATGCTTTGGTGACCAACAAAGTCGATCACAAAATATTTCTTATTGAGGTTGTTAAGTATGCTCAATGAGTGTATTGAAAGCACTCCTTTGAAATTTGTAAACCAATTGAATTTTCATTGTTTCCTCAAAAACTAAGGGAGATACAAAATAACAGATAAGAACATTGTCATTCAATCAATGAATATATGGAAATCATAAAAACCAGTGGTCATAAATATCAATCAATTACCCCAATGTGACGCCCTGGAAAAATTATTTTGAATCTGATTACACCACAAGAAGTTCCAAGTTACTATCATCCAAACCACCAAGTTTCATTGGAATTGATTGAGACATTCCAGTAGGCAAATAAAAATCGATTTTTCATGGAACTATTAATACCCTGTATCTGGAAAACGGAGCATATTCAAAGCATGGACACATGTTTATATCACTTTTATTTCCTAAAATATATCACAAGGTATCACCCCCTGTATAGATTATCAGTTTATCACACTCATTCACTAACACCCTGTACATTATATAGAATCAGATATTGAGAAAAAAATTTACAAGAACCAAGTATAATGTTCTGATAGAAAATCAACTAAACACAACATTCAGCAATACAGAGTGCTTTCGCAAAGAACTGAATGAATTAATTTTTAGTCAAACTATCCATTTCTGAGCAATATCCTAGAATAACAGATCAATTTTCAATTTGCCACATTTTTAACACTATCTTTACAATAAGAGCATTTAATTTATCAGACTCACTGTATACAAACCTTATGTGTAATAAGTTTTTGAAATCAGTGTTCTACCTGTTTATATGTAGGTACTGATTTTGTAGTTTGCAGGCAAATAAATATCTTATCTTGAGATGAGCAAATTTCATTAGTTGAGTGAAGAATTCATCACACACATCTGCTTACATGATGATGGAGTCACCCATCAGGCATCAGTAGGTTTCTAAAAATAATTTTCATATAATAGGTATAATGTATCATCATGGTCTATCATAGTACTCAATAATTAAGTGAGAAGCTAATACCTATGTGAAATCATACAAAACTAATATCCATGAACCAAAAAAATTGATATTCACATTGGGAGATTACATATGCTCATTGCTCAATGACTGTGAGAAACTTCTTCCTGCTGGCCCGAAGGAGAACCCAACCTGTTCTTCCACATTCATTCATCATATCAATATTAAATCTACACTTACCCTAAAAATTCCAGTGGATTGATCCTTTTCTAAGCAAGTTTTTCCCGTGTTTTGTCACCTTAAATCATTCCTTCTCAAAATGGTTGTTACAGACATTACAATAGTTCTCAATTTTGGAACTTGTAGCACCCAAAGTAAATGAGTGGTAGAATCGGAAGTATCGATTATTAGCATTTGATCAGGGCTCTGATTCCCTTACTTGTGATGATCCTGTAACACTCAATATCGAATGTATCCACACTATCTACTTTGTTGCAAAGAAATATCACTTGGAAATCCAGGAATGGAGATGGTTTCACAATTTCTGGTAGGCACAATAGGAGGAGACAGAGTTTGTTACACATTGATAATCAGAATAAACTACTATAATACTGGGAGCACAACACAAAACTATAACTATAAACGAAAGGAATATTAGAACAATGAGAATTGAAAAAGAATGATATTTTAGAAAAAAATTCAAAACAAGTCACGATGGCATGACAGCTCTTGACACTGACAACCAGTGACAACTTACATAACCACAAATTTCGAAATTTTTCTAGAAAAAAGTGACGATCATATCGTACGATACGGTAACATCCTCTAGCGGTCCTACACTCAACTGAGCTATTGGGAAGACCAGATACTCCAGCTCACTAGATTTTTTCTCCATATTTAGCAGACAATGGTTTAATTCCAGCTCACTAGATTTTTTCTCTATTTAGCAGACAATGGTGTAAACAAATTTTAGTTGCTGAGGAGATTGTTTTAAATTTTGAAATAATTGAATAAATCATGGATAACTTAGAAGCAAACATTATGGATAAGTCCATGAGATCTGTCTTTGGTAAATTAAAAATTATATTATAAAGTAACGAGGTATATTCTGTTTTATTTCCAGTGGGAAATATTCCCTATGAGGCCACAGAAGAGAAGCTCAAAGATATATTTGGTGAAGTTGGCCAAGTCTTATCATTCAAGTAAACTTTCTTGTTATCCAGAGTTTCTCCAATAACTATTTATAAATTGTGCTTTTTTAGACTTGTATTTGATCGGGAAACAGGGAAGCCAAAAGGTTATGGCTTCTGTGAATACCGAGACCAAGAAACCGCCCTGAGTGCCATGAGAAACTTGAATGGATATGAGATAGGGGGACGTAATCTGAGAGTGGACAATGCTTGTACTGAGAAATCCAGAATGGAAATGCAAAATCTGCTCAATCAACCTCCTGTTGAAAATCCCTATGGGGAACCAATCCAAGCTGAAAAAGCTCCTGAAGCCATCAGCAAAGCTGTGGCTTCGCTTCCACCAGAACAGATGTTTGAGCTCATGAAGCAAATGAAGACAACAATTCAGGTAAGTACAAGGTATAGTGGATGTGGCTTTTCAGTTTATTGCTTTGTCCCATTTTAGAACAATCCAACAGAAGCGAGGCAGATGCTTCTTCAAAATCCACAATTGGCATATGCCCTTCTACAAGCCCAAGTAGTAATGAAAATTATTGATCCTCATACTGCTGCTGTAAGTTTACTTTCAGAAAATATGTTACTGCCCTTTAGTTATTATCTATTTGTTTTCCTTTTAGAGTTTGTTACATCCAGTTAATCAGGTCCCAGCAACTTTGATGCCAGGTGATAAAAATGTACCAGTTCAAGTCCCTATAAACAATCAATACAGGGAACCTCCAGCACCAGTTCAACCACCCAGGCAGGAATTCCAACCTGTACCACCTCCCATTATGCTTCCTGTAGCTCAACCAGTCTTTGCAAGTGAGTAACTAAAAGTAAATTCAGTCAACATTACAGGGAATCCTTGAATGGCAGGTAATCTGGAAAGCTGGAAGCAGATGGCACTTGTGAAATTGGGGGTCATGTCACTTATTTGTTTATTCCCTGTAATAAAATCTGCCAATGAAACTTCATTAATGATAATCATTATCAAAATGCCTTAATATTGTATTGTGCCTCTGGTTGCTTTTGTGTTCCTGTTCCTCAAGAACCTCTGGAATGTGCACAGAATATAGGTGCATTGTGACCTCACTCCTTATTATTATAATTTTCATGTATTCAGTTTTGTTCTAAATCTGTTGGTTCTTTTTTATTCTCATCCTGTCTTGGGTTTTGGTGTATTGATACCCCTCCATCATGATATCTGGCATGATTGCATACACCAATACAAAGTTTACTAATGTTTCAACAATTATTGGACCAGATTGGACCTACTTAAATATTTGAAAAATTAATAAAAGATGTTCAAATGTTGTTTTTTCAAAAATAGTGCTGGTAAAACAATAAGACATCTGTACTTGAAAGACAAGAAATTTCATTACCTATACTGACAAAAAATTCCAAATTGAAGTGTCCTACAAATGAATATTGACATCTGTGATAGTTTAATTACTTTGTGCCTTGAATATCCTAAAGAAAACTTGACTTATGATGTTTTGTTGATTGTTCCATATATTATTATCTATCTCTCTATCTGAAAAGGCATTAGCTAATAAAGAATTCCAAAATGCTGTCCTACAAACAAATATGGAATTTTCCCGGGATTCTAAGAAATCTTGAATAATTTGCATTTTATTTATCTATTCCTTGATCTATCCATGAAGGTATTCACTAATGAGGAAATCCAAAGTGATGTGTCATGAAATTCTTCCAAGATTCTGAGAAATCTGGGATAATTTTTTTTATTTCCTGGAATATCCTGAAAAACCCCTTGGATTAGTATTATGTTTTTTGTATTTGAGCCAGTTATTATTCATTGAATCACACAAAATACATAAACATGAGGAAGACTGCACTGAACAATTTGGAAGAAGCAGAAAGAGCTAGCTGAAACATTTTAGTCCTACCATAGACACCATGGAGAATGAATTTGTCTTTTCCAGGCCAAGATATTGATCTCAGATCATTAGGAGGTGCCCCAGATCCTAGAATGATAGGCAACAGAATGAATGTGGGAGATCAAGACATGAGGCAGATCTTAGGATCCATAACAAATCCCCTGCCACCAACAGTTGCAGAAAGGTAAGAGGTATTCAGGTTGTTCTCGAGTGAAATAATACTGAAATAATACCAACATGACCAACGTTAATCATTCGATAGTATCTTCCTGATATAATAGTGATGATAAATGGTATTCATTGCACTAGATGATAATAATAATAATAATAATAATAATAATAATAATAATGAAGTTCGATCGATCGATCGGAGATCCAGAAAATCCCAGCGTGCCGTGATAAGGCACACATCCTGGCTGGTGGTATGCAGAAGGCCGTCATACTTGGATCATTGCGTCTACTCAGGGCACACGGTACTTGGTCCCAGTGATTACTCACCTCACAGGCTGTGAGGAGTAGTCACTGGATTTTATCCAGCACGACTCTGCGTGACGTCGGAGGCCGCAGGGTCGTGACTGGAATTACATGAACTCAAATGAATAATAATGAAGTTTATTCAAAGTATGAGTTATGGAATAGGTTAAAGGAATAAATGATTGTTTTTATTATAAAGTGTCGATGGAGGTCTGGGATGATTCCTGAATATATTCAAAACAATCAAATCTAATCAAAATATACTTTATTGTCTGAAGATAAATGTACTATATCTATATTTGACGCATCGCCTATATGATATCTCAACAAAAATGGGACCAAAATGAGAGGCTCTATTTAAGGGTGGAAAGTGAAGGATGGAAACTGCTGACGTGAGGATCAGATTTTAAGTTAGGTTAGGTCCTAAATAATTATTTGATCATAATAAAATATTAAAAATCATCAATTGTCGATAATACCACAGTATAATACCGTCAACTTCGGTTTATTCCTTTATAATGTGGTTGAAATATAGCAAAGCATAATGTCAGTAACTTTGAGGAACAGAAGAGAGCCATTGCAGATGATAATGAAATGAATTGCGATAATGATTTCATTCAGTTCGGTGGAATCTCGAAACTCACACCCTTTAATCCAACATTATTGCATCATATCTTGGTATTGAATATTGAATATAGGTCAGGGTTAACCTAGGTATATGTATTCTTTTTCTCAAATCTGTTTAGCATGATAGGACACCACACTACTTGTCATTTACTGATTCAAACTTGGTTTACTTTAAGGAAATCACCATTATATTTGCAAGCCAAAGATTTTGAAAATTCAAACTCACTTATGGAAAGAGGATTCCTGTATATTCTTTACTCCGCAAATACTGCATTTCAGTCTATGAAAAATTAACGGTAACTCAAACACTAGAGAATTGTACAACTAAAAACGCTAATATTTGAATTTCAATCACAATCAGTCACATCCGCGCTAAAAGCAATTTAAAAATTTGAAATTCGTAGCCATATTGGTTTAACAAGTTTCGTATTATTTTTTCCCTACGTCGGCATCAACGCCTATTGGTCGATTTCGTTACCTATAGAGACAGAAGTTGGTCCCGCTTTAAGGACAGCTGTGCTTCATATATGAGTAGTAGATATATGGGTCTCATCAACAAATTTTAAGTTGAAAATTGGTTTGCATGAAAATGTTTCAAAAATCAATAAAAATAAATACTAGATGGATTCACTGGTATTATGTATGGTTTGTTCTATTCAGAAATTCACTATATCAATTTGCTTATCAGTCTTATGACGAAATCGGTGGATTTGAAGATGGACAGGTGAGTTTTAGTTAGACATTTTATATAACCTATACAATATCGCAATATATGTAGGATGTTTGGTAAATTGATTGGCAATATTTACCATAATAGTCTCGTAGACTCTTTGAATATGTGTAAAACAATTTCATAAATATCAATATCTTGTTTGTTTTTTTCAGTTTCCCTAGAGACCCAAGAGCAATACCATCTGCATTTCCCAATGATCCACGACAATCACGTATTGATCCAAGGCAAAAATCTGCTGGTGAGTAATAGTGTACAATTCATTGAATGTTCTCTTTGATCATTTCTTTGTTAGAAATCCATTGAGCACAAAATTCATTGTTCCTGCATTTCAAAATGTGATGTAAAATGAGTGTGAATGGAATGTGCCTACTATTCAACGTTCTTATATTAGATAAATGACTCATGTCATCATATTCTTTGATGGGGTTTTACACACCCATTGAACCTAAAATTAGAATGATGTTTTTTTTTTTCGAATACTCATCGAATTTACGTTTTTTGGGCTGTGCAGTTAAGAACGACCAATTCGAAATTTTGCAAAGAAATACGTTGGTAGACTCGTCAAAAGGAAACCACATAAGATACTATAGTGGTACAGATGACAGCTTACAACTTACAGCAGAAAAAAGGATAATAAAGCACGGACTGTTCACATTCACTGTTTCAGGGTTTTGTTGGAAAAATCTCAGTTTGCAGCTTGTTTTCTATAAAATGTTCTAAATGTTTGAACATTTTTCGCTTTATGACCTTGAAACGAGCTTTCTTGCGAAAAGGTGTCATCTGTACCAAGCGTTAGACATGTTTTTCCATATTTTTTTATGTCATCGCAACATCATCTCATTGTCTGCTAAATATCTAGAAAGAATCTAGTGAGCTGTATGCGTCATCTAATAATGACGGCGACCGCGAATAATATAGGAGTTGTAATCATTTTTTAACAGAGGTCCTGGCCCGTTGACTATATTCTTTGTTTGATAGTATCTATTTTAATTATGTTTCAGTCCCGCCTCCTGTTCAGATTCCTACACAGGCTGTCAGACCGCCAATGCAGCCTCAATTAATTCCCACCACTCAACGCCCCCCTGTGCAGATCCCTCTGAATCCTGTATCTATGCCAACTACTGCAGCTACTTCGGGGGCCTCCGATCAAGAAAAGGTCAGAATTTTTTTTTTACTTTTTGTTTCAGCCATACTCAAGAGTATCTACTTCTATAATAATATGTGACACATTTTTTTCCATCACTAACTATAAGAAGTAAGAACTGACCATTAGTTACTCCTTTTCAAAGAGTAAAGTGTGTTTTTACTGCCATGGTAGTTTTCGTCACTTTATGAACCAATAGTCAATAAAGACATCTCCATTATAAGTAACCCGAATTCAGTGTTCTGATGCGAGATTCGCAGTAATAGCACTCCAATCTAGTGAGTATACATCAATAATGACTTGTCATATGCTGTCATGGTCATTGCTACTCAAATTTAATTCAAGGAATCGCATTCATAGTGATATAGCTCCATATTTCAGTTTGACTGATTGGAATATTGACATCTTATCTCATTTTTATAGTTTTCTTGTACAACTACTATAGTTTTCAATTGTGTACCTAACAGCTGAGTCAATTGAGGATCATTTCCATTTGAACTTGAAAAAAAAAAGATTCTTTTTGATTGTGAATTGTGAGTCTTATTTTACTGTCTTCTTTATTTTATTTTGTCAAATATATTTATGTATTCACTATGTTCCCAGCTATAAACAAATGTTGTTTCTTGGGAATAATAAAGTTGATTGATTGATTGATATTGCTAGTAGTGACAAAAATTTAATATACACCTTGGTAGTGAAGAATGTTATTACCATGGGACCTGGGTAATAAAAATATTCTTTATTGCCTTGGGGAACTCTTCAATCCATGCTTAGTAAATAAATAACGATAATTCTCCAACATGAGCAACTGAACTTCAGGGTAGAAATCAAAATTATATTCAGAGTGTTACTTTTCACATAACACTAGTCAAGGTGAGACATATCATATTTTCAGGCTGGCAGTATTAGCCATAAAAGCGTCAGATGTCAATTAAAGAGCTGTCTTCTTATAAAATCATTTCAATTGAGGTCTTTCCTATCTTGAACGAGAGAAAGGAAAGTTCTCTCCTCTTTCATCACTCTCTGCAATGCTACCAACGTGGCCGCATTGAAATATAGAGAGGTCCGATAAATCTTTCAAAATTCAGCAGAATGTCAAATTTAACGATATTAACAAATTATGTCAGAATAAGTATGTTATAAATCAAAATTTCATTCTGAAAATTCGAAATGTCATCAGTCAATGACATTCATGACATAGACATATCACGTCATTATAATATCGAAAATAGTTCAGTGGCGCAGACTAGAGGTTAGACAAGGAAATATTTATCGGATCTCTCTATATTTCAATGCGTCCACGTTGGTAGCATTGATAAGAGAAAGATGGAAGAGGAGAGAACATTCCTATCTCTCGTTCAAGGTAGAAAAGAGCTCAATTTGATCAGCCCAGAAACAGGTGGATTGTTGAATATTGAATTATGGAGCAATAACAACTACAGTACATTCAACAAGTGACACTGAATATGACATTAGTTGCTGTCAACATGTACCGCAAAATGTTTAACCCTTTCCAGATGAAATAGGGTCAATTGTGCCATGAAGTGATGTTAAAACCTTGAAACCTGAATTTAATTTAGCCTGAAATTTTGCGAACTCAATTAGCCCAGTTCATTTTAAATAAGGATTTTGCTCGACTTTGAAACCTACATTTATCTATTTATGATATTTTTCAGTAGATATAGATGTTTTGATTCTGATTCAATGTGCATTTTTGAAGAGTCGCTGAAACTAATTTTTTGGCGACAATTTTCTTGTTCTCATGGGAATATATTTTGGAATATTTTGCGGGGAAACAAAGAATATTCGTTACAAAAAAAGTTAGTTTCAACCACTTTTCAAAATTGCACATTTTCAAAAAACACCTTGCAATGATTATACAGCGTGTCTCACTTTAAACGGACCTCCCTCTATATCTCAGTTATTAGTCATGCGATTCCAACCAAATTTGGTGTGGTATGAATAACCATCAATATGTCATCAGTTTTACAGAAATGCACATCATTTTCGACAGTGTCGTGCGTTTTTATTGAACTGAAAAGGGGTTGATTTTTCATGAAATCATATTATGCATTTTTTTACAGGAAATCTAACCTCATATTATTGTTCCTCATGCTTTCGAACCTCCATATGCAGAAAAATCACGTGATTCCGAATTAACAGGTTTGGCTTCATTTTTTTCATTTTCAGTCTCAAATAAATAGTGACTTCAAATCAACTACGAATTTTGGAACGTTCAATGGCTCCGGTAGGTGGTAAATCATGAATTGGAAGGAAAAACAAGTAATACTTTTTTTATGTTGAACTCACCGTTTCCGAGTAAATAATTATTACTCTCGCAAAAATGCTGTTTAGATGTTCCTGTTTTTCTGAAACTCTGAAACTCGTCATAGGCATCTTATGGAAATCCACATATATTATGTAGGTTTGAAACCATGAAGAACAATATTATTAGGTCAGTTTTCCTGTGAAAAAATGCCTAAATATGATTTAATAAAAAACTGACCCCTATTCATTTCAATAAAAATGCACGGCACTGTCTAAAATGATGTTTGTCTTTGGAGAACTGGTCATTTTGATGATAATTCATACCGATACAAATTTGGTAAAGATCGCACGACTGATAGCTGAGATATAGAGTGGGGGCCATTTGAAATGAGACACGCTGTAGATGATGATGATGATGTGGTTTTCACCATTGAGATTGTTTGTTTCCCTGCAGCTGTCGCATCTCATCAACTAATGCAGCTTGTCATATAAAAATACATCTTCCATAACTTGGTATTCATTTATTGTTAATGTTTTCTTTTTTTTTGTAGGCTGCGCTGATTATGCAAGTTTTGCAGTTATCTGATGAACAGATTGCCATGTTACCTCCAGAGCAGAGAAACAGTATTTTGGTTTTGAAAGAACAGATTGCCAAGAGTGCGCAACGTACATAATTCAAAATTATTGTTGTATCTTCTCAGTTTGTAATAAACATACCTATTGTAATAAATTGTGAAAAACGAATTATGTGTATGATTTGTTCATATAAAATGTTTGTTTCATTAACAATCTGTTATTCCAAATTCTACTCTACTAGGTACCTACATACAACAATTCAAGGAATTGATTTACAGGCCATCTACTTCATATACATGAGAAATGGCATTTTCTGCAGAACTGTAACACTGAGCTAATACTTCCAAATATTTCAATGTGTCACTTTTTTCCTTGTCTCTATACCGGGGAATTATGAAACTGAGACTATACTGGCAAAGTTGCAAAGCTCACCTTACTAGCTGGTAATTTAAAAGAATTTTGAAGTCAATAGTCATAAACACGAACACATAACCAGACAAAAAGATGTGTTAACTCTCATCAAAATTAAATCAGATATGGGTAAAAGATCTATTTTATACAATGGAGCAATTCTCTATAATGAATTACCTGCCAGACTAAAGAAAAAATTAAGTTTTGAGAAATTCAAAAAAGAACTGAAAAAATACTTGTCTGTGATTCTCATCCTAAATCAATTCAAGGACTTATATTCAACAGTCTCTAGAAGAAACAACATTATATGTACTATATGTATATGATTTAAAAATGATTATCTGATTATCTAAATTTTTTTTTTTTTAGTTGCTCTCATAATTTTCCCTGCCATAAACATATATGTTACTTGGAAATAATAATGATTATTTAAGAAAAAAGGAAACTTTGTGTACATCAAATAATGCACCTTGATGAATAGAAGATAATAGGTAAAAATAAATAAATCGGTAAAATGACCAATATTTTGATAAAACATTAGCGTAAGTCGCTTTTTTCTTCATCATCACTTTTTTTGACATGGATTCGATGGTGGAAGAATCTTCGTTCGAACTTTCCTTGGAAGTGCTCCATCTAAATTCGACCTTATTTGGTTTCTTCTTTCAGAATCGTAGCTATCGATCGCACTGTTATTTAAGTATGTGTCCATAAAGTTATAAAATTTCGAATAAATACTACTAATGCATAAAATGTTATATGTATCACGTGCATGAAAATGTGTTGTATAGGCCTTATTCGGCGGAATTTTAAAAATTCAACACTACTGCAATTGCTAATGAAACCGGAAGTGATCAGGAAGTGGAAACAAATATGCGAAAACTTAACTCTTTACATATACTGATGATAATCTATACCAAATATCATTTTGATACACCTAATATTCTAGAAGTTATGACTCGTTCAATAGATTCGATAAAAACAAATCGTTTTGAAATTATTGAAGCGAAAACTCCAACAATCTAGAAATTTTATTGATTGTACTTATCAAACTGCTTTGAAAAGTAATAATAATCTCTGTATCAATTTCAAACAACTGATTCCGAACATGTTCAGATATTGACAATTAAAAAAAAAGGATAGCAGAGCGTGGTTTCGATCCACGGACCTCTGGGTTATGGGCCCAGCACGCTTCCACTGCGCCACTCTGCTCTATGTATGAATTGGGTTATGCATACATATTCGAATATAAAGATACTTTATGATTATAAATGTATTCACTTTTAATATTGGCACAAGTTGTTGCCTATCAACAGGGGAAGCAGTATCTATGTTCATTTTGAAATAAGTTATCCACTGTTTCTCCAATTTGAATCAATTAAATTGCACACCAAATATTTTAGATCAATTTAAAGCCTGTATTTCGTATCGTTACGTACTATAGCCGTTGATTGATATATTACGCAGCGTAAGCGTAATATATCAATCAACGCTATAGCAACTACACAAATTTCTTGGAAATTTTTATCTCTTTCTTGGGGGACGAGGCATGCAAGTACACTGGAAATTTCTTGACGACGTTTATAGGTTAAATGACATTTACATTCAACTTCAGATTATTAAAATTAAAATTAATCGAATTGGATTTTTCTTTGTTCACCCTGATGTAGAGCCTAAAACGTAAAATGATAACGGATACGAGATCCAGATGACATTGTACCATCATTCAGGCATGTCATTCCATGAATAAATAGGCGTTTTGTCAATTCTCGGAGTTGTTAAAAATTCTGAGCAGGAATAAGCTCCAACTTTTCATCTTTGACACCCTGTATCTCGAAAACTAGGCACCCCATTCCTTTGTGCCCATGGACACATCTGATGCTTAGCGAGTCATAATCAACATCATCCCAAAAATTCAGGGAATTTAACCGAAAGCCATTTTCCATAAGGAAAGTGGGGGGTCCTTTAGAAAAGAATTAATATTCTCCAGTTTGGCGAATGCGCCAGTCCCAAACAGCTCCCGACATGCCCACCTTGAATGGCCCTAACCCATTGATGAAAACACCGTTGTCGCCCCATTGAAACCGACACGATCGTGCGAAAATACGGAGAATCCAAACGGTCCTCCGGAGGATACATCATCGGGCCGGTCTTGTGGTCTTTGAGATTGAGAGAAAGGCAATCCAATCGAGCTGACGGAAATGATCCTCGACAATCCGCAAGAAATGCCTCTTCGTCCTACTGGTGTATCGGCGTAGCTCGAGAGCGGAGCGCGAATGTATAAGTCTTGCGCTCGCGATTGATCTCCAAGAAACAACAGTCAATCTGCCCCGAGCTGTATAGTTAGTTGGCTGTGGAATCTAGGTCTTGTCGGCTATGAGGTGAGACTCGCGGCCTCCTAAGACTCGAGAGGAGTGCGATTTGAATTCGCCATCGAATTCCGTTTTTTAGAAATTAAATTAAAATTTGTGGATGTGGACACTGGGAAAATAGTATCCATCTTTCAGTGTAATGTGGTGAACTTTAGGTGTGTGTGATAAATGTTGACCGGTTCCATTTATAATAGTTATTACGTGAGAAAATGACATCATAATACAGAGGTATTTTTGTGAGTTTGTTTCTTCGATCTCCAAGCAATTTGAATATTTGAAGGTCAGTATATTGCTCTTATACATATGGTTTATTAACGCAGTTCCTTTTACCCCTATATCTGTTCACTCCTATTCCTTCTTCTGGGAAATGAAAAATAAATATCCATATATAAATCGCTATTTCATGAACTTCCGGATTCAACAATTTTGAATTCGAGGGGTGAATTTTATTATTCAGATTAACCTCTCAAAGAATCACAGATGATAAAGAAAGCGTTACATTACATGACGCACGCATGAGCGCATGGAATTATTATTGTTCAGGTTGATTTCATAAAATCTCATATTGGTCCATAAGTATCTCAACATGCTAACCTCCCTTCTTCTCAGATAAATTTAGCACATTCGAACAAAAAAATACCAAGGTTTATTTAAATTTTCCTCAGTTTTTGTTGTGAGTAGGTATATACACTCTGAAGAAGTTTACATATATATTTTTGTTGATATTCAGTACAAGAACTAAGAATTATTCATAATAATAAAATTATCTAATCAATGTCACCATTATACAATCTCTATATATTGAGATATATCCCGAAAACCGTTCAATTTAGCTCAGTTGAAGTCAATGCTTTTCTTTCAACACAAAATTGAAGAAAACGAAAATATTCAAAATGTCATTAGTGGCGTAGAGAATATGGAAAAAAGTTACTCCTCCATTTGGAGCAACACCGCAGGTACCGAGAACTGAACACTTTAAAACTAAATATGTCCCATCCGAGCAACACACTGTATGTGGGGTAGGCGCGCATTCGCCATAATTTGAACATGTCATTTAGACGAGAAAATTCCCAGTAAACACAAACATCCCTGGCATGTCACTTCATGCCTCGGTATTAGATCCTCGCTAGGTAACAATGCGAATTACGACTAAACATCATTGGTATTGCCAGGGGACTCTTTATTTTACAAACCATTCGCAAAATTCGTCACATTTTATCAGATTTGAGACTTGAAATATAGATGAATTTATGAGGCCCCCTAACAACAAAGAGACTCACTGGAACCTCACATTCTTGTCTATTTAGGTATGCAACAAATGGAATCATTCAATTTTGATGTTGCATGAGTTTTATTCGAGGTTTTATTTGGCATCAGAATGTGAATCATAAAATGACCAAAAGGGTCCGGAATAGCAGTCATTGTGATTTCAGTGGGACTCTCATTTCGCGTCACGGATGTGATGTGTAGCATAAATGTGATGCCGCCTCATATCTCTGGAATCAATCTGTATTTACTGGGTCATGAAGAAATGGTATTTTTTATAGCTAGTGGTTGAAAAACTTATACATCAGGGTATTGAACTCGGGATTGGATAACTATTTATACACTAAAAATAAAAATTGTGGACCCGTGATATATTATGATAATAGTAATAATAATACTAATAATAATAATGATAAGACAATAATAATATTGCCTATGCTCCGGGAGATATTGAGTCCGTTGTGGAGAATGAGAGGTGCCGAATTTATTGGAACTTCTCATTTCCCACCCTCAGGCAAATACAAGCTAACAAACCTGATGTAGTCCTCCTCAACCATCAAACCAAAGCGATGTTCGTGATGGAGTTTTCGGCGCCAGCCGAACCGAACATCGTTTTGAAGGAGGAGGAGAAACGGACTAAATATCGAGATCTTCTCTTCGAACTCCGCCGGCTCTATCCAGACCATTCTGTGGAATTGGTCATCCTGATAATCGGCTCCCTAGTAGGCAAACGACATACGCTGCTCTCGTAAATCCAGATAATTTCCAGCATGCAGTGATGAGGCACACATCCTGGCTGGTGGAATGCAGAAGGCCGTCATACTCAGATCATTGCGTTTACTCAAGGCACACGGTTCTTGGTCCCAGTGATTATTCACCCCACAGGCTGTGGGGAGTAGTCACTGGATTTTATCCAGCACGGCTCTGCGTGGTGTCGGAGGCCGCAGGGTCGTGACCGGGATAATATGAATTTAAATAATAATAATAATAATATGATATATCTTTATGATATTTATCTTTATTCATCAAAGAGAAGGTGAGAGAAGAGTCGAAATCACCTTTTACCGAGAAAGTAAGCAAGTTCTCTTGTATAATCTTTCCTCAGCCCCCTTTTCTTGTTTTTCCTTATATAAATCAGTTATATTAGTTATAAGGGCT